GATGAACAAAGATTAAAATATGTGAATTCCGGGAAGTAAGCTTATCCAACTTTAATCAAGTTGTAGTAGAAGAACCAGTCCAAGGAACATGTATGTCTTCCCATACCAACCACATCAAAGATTTAAATCAATGATAACCGTTTCTGAGGAAGCGCTTTACCAGTTACAAAGTAACCAACTAAAACGGTTATACAGGTATTATTACCACAATCACTGGATTCACTTACAATTCTGCACTTTTCTGAGCACACTCTCCACTCCCTTAGGGAGCATTCCAGCCAATCGCCCTATTACAGGCATGCACATGTATGCTAATCCTCCCACATTGAAGTTTGCATCCTACCGGGTACCCATTCAGCACCTGGGTGGAGAGGAGCAATGTAGATAAAATGCCTTGCTCAAGGACATAAGCGTCGCGCTGGGGATTGAACTTACGACCTTTGACACCTCTACAAAGATCTTTTAGTATCCCTTTTAGTTTTTACTAATTCCATCACTTTACTATCAGATGGATCAGACAAAAGATTAAAACAAAAACTAGATTTAGGTTCATTATGTTCTGAATTCAATGATACTTAGTGAAATATGGGACATAAATAGACTAAATACCTTGGAATTAACAGCCGTAGCTTATTACGTCAGCATCAACATTAATGACAGAAAAATAACAACAATTTTGTCGGACACAGGACAAATTCATTGCAAGATCTTGCAGGAGCAGACGACCAACTATGGGAGGTACATCTCCTTCTGGGACCCATTTCACAATGCCTTTGTTCAATGACAAATGACAAATATCAGTGACAAATCTGCTGATAACCAATCAGAAGCAAGGATTTCAGTAGCTTGTAACAACAACTGTCATTTATCACTGATGACAAGTTTTGTGAAACACCCCCCAGTTCTCACTCCTATCTTACCATACATGAAGATCATATAGCGACCTCGTTATAGTATCCTTGCAAGTTTTATTCACTGACCCAAACGCGAACCATATGGTGAACCACCAGCCCAATTGGCAACTCGACTGCAACTCCATCTCTTGAGACCGATCATTAATAGGTGAATAAGATGTGCTACTGACGTGATAACAACAGGGAAACAGTTTATGATGAGCTTAAAGCCCATCTGTACTAGTCTACATGAGGGATTAGACCACCCTGCAAGGTCACTTACAGGTGGTTATCTCATCAAATCAGCTGTTACTTAACATAAGAACAAGAGGATCATGGGGGACCAATGGTCACCGATTAGGCATTGTTTGCTATATAGAGGGCGCAAGTAGCTATAAGTAGTGCAGTGAGGCTTTTAAGCAGCAGGACGCAACTTGGAGCTGCAGCATTTATTTCAGTTTTGAATGTAAGGCTTCCTGGAAGAAGTTTTAATTGTAGTGAAGAAACTTTTGACTCGTAACCCGAAGATAAAGATCACATGCTCAAGCTTGTACTTTTTTTACAACATATGGGGCCCGTTTCATAAAACTTTTTATCTTTAACAAATGCTAAATTTCTATGACAAACTTGCTCTCAGCCAATCAGATGCCATGATTTCAGTAGCTTATAACAGTAGCTTGTAACTTGTTATTGATATCAATTTTAATGAAACAGGGTCCTGATACAGTTCTCACACATCTCCTACTCCTAGTGTACAAGGCAGTCATGCATATTGTGACCCCATTGTAGTATCCTAGCAATTCTTATGATTTCCTTGACCTAAACCTGACACGTTTGGTGTAGTGGTCGGGTAGCCAAGGATCATGGCACTGCTCACGGCGAGAGATACACTTTGAGGCAGCCGGCATTGGGTGTGGTAAACCTGCAAAGTCAATAACAAGGAGAGGAAGAAAAAAAAATGAGCAGAAGACCTACGGGTATATGTCTACATGTACAGAGTAGAAAGATGTGGAATCTCTTTGCAGAAAGAAACTAGATGGAATTTTGACTGCGCGCAGTCGAAAATGATGCCTCCGCCATAGAGCAATTTAAACAAGTTTGGAGTTTAAATCTCCAGTGGTTCTTGAGATATCATGATAACAATCTCAATGTATGGAATTTCATAAGTTGGCCTCTGTGACCCTTGACCTTTGACCTACGTGCTCCAAAATCTAATCAGATTGTCTTCCTATGGTGATACACACTATCATTAAGTTTGAAGTTTAAATCTCCAGTGGTTCTTGAGATATTATGATATGGTGATACTATCATTAAGTTTAAAGTGAAAATTCTCCAGTGGTTCTTGAGATATCGCGATAACGATCTCAATGTATGGAATTTCATAAGTTGACCTCTGTGACCCTTGACCTTTGACCTACGTGCTCCAAAATCTAATCAGATTGTCTTCCTATGGTGATACACACTATCATTAAGTTTGAAGTTTAAATCTCCAGTGGTTCTTGAGATATTATGATAACAATCTCAATGTATGGAATTTCATAAGTTGACCTCTGTGACCCTTGACCTTTGACCTACGTGCTCCAAAATCTAATCAGATCGTCTTCCTATGGTGATACATACTATCCTTAAGTTTGAAGTTTTTACATCTCCAGTGGTTCTTGAGATATCATGATAACAATCTCAATGTATGGAATTTCATAAGTTGACCTCTATGACCCTTGACCTTTGACCTACGTGCTCCAAAATGTAATCAGATTGTTTTCCTATAGTGATACACACTATCACTAAATTTGAAGTTTAAATCTCCAGTGGTTCTTGAGATATCATGATAACAATCTCAATGTATGGAATTTCATAAGTTGACCTCTGTGACCCTTGACCTTTGACATACATGCTCCAAAATCTAATCAGATCGTCTTCCTATGGTGATACATACTATCCTTAAGTTTGAAGTTTAAATCTCAAATGGTTCTTGAGATATCGCGCTAACAAACTCAATACAAGGAATTTCATAAGTTGACCTCTGTGACCTGTGACCTTTGACCTACGTACTCCAAAATCTAATCAGATCGTCTTCCTATGGTGATAAATACTATTCCCGAGTCTTAAGTTTAAATCTTAAATGGTTCTTGAGATATTGTGATAACGGTCAAACGGGACGGACGGACGGACGGACAACCCGAAAACATGATGCCTCCGGCACCACCTTCGGTGGCGGAGGCATAAAAAAGAAGGGTATTAACTCTGGATTAACCCTAATAAGGCCGGGGGGGGGGGGCCATTAAGGCCCCCCCCCCTCCACAATTTTTCCGATTGCTCGGGAACGCATATGGATGGCACCCCGCCGCTCGCTGACTTTTTTCTTTCGAGTCTTGCGCAACTTTTAAAATAATTTTTTTGAAAATCGGACCTACGGTTACAAGGTCACGTGACCTTTTGTCTTCGCATGTCAGCCTGAAAATTGCTCATTTTCGTGATTTGTGTACAAAACGTATGGCAAAGCCATTTTTCCTAAAAACAGATCAAACATGGGTTATTGGGTCTTGTCTAAAGTTTAGGTGGTTGTTTTGGGAGTCAAAATAGTTGAATTGTAGTAAAAGATGAAATAAAACAACAAAAACAATGAAATACATAAGTTAAAAAAACAAAGAAATACATAAGAAATTATCAAAACAAGGGATAACATAAGAAATAAGCTGGCCATTCCAAATTTTTTGTTGTATTATTATTCAGAATGGTCTAATGAATATATCTAGTGAAAAAGAATGCTTAAATATGAATAATATATGATTTATTGGTAAAAATGTAATTTTTATGACTTTATTTGCATAAATTACCATAAATATGCAAATGAGTGAATTTTTCAAAAAATTGAAATTATCATATTATTCTTTACACTTCACTTGACATGCGTGCAAATTTTCGCGGCGATCGGCCGCTTTGCGGCCGAGATCTTGAGGGGGGGGCCATAATGGCCCCCCCCCCCGGCCCTACTAAGACTTCAAATAGCCCGGCCTTATTAGGGTTAAAGTGTATGAGTTAACACCCTTCTGGCTCCAAACAGATGACATCATCTGCAAGAACCAAAAGGCTGTTAGCCCATACTTTACTATTACTTGGCTCTCAACGGACAGGTATTCATTTTCACATGTAGTTTTGCTACCAAAATGGTGAATGCAAAGAGTGAAAAGGCAGATTCTTCATGCTTATGGACCTTTAATAATAAATCTCCATGGTTCATTAATATCTCTTTTTTCATAAGATTTAAGTACATTTGTTACTTCAATCCATAAATATCAACAAAAATTGCATTCAGATTATCAATAAGTGTGTTTTTGTATAAAAAAATAGTATTCTATTAGGGAATATCACTCTGCTGGATCAATTTGAATCCAAGCTGAAAACACAATTATTCTTGTATGTGTAATCTAAATTTTATTGACATAAATACAGTGATGTTCTAACACGCATAGAGACCATGTTGGTTTTATGCGTTTACTAAGCAATGTACTAGAATATAATATATAATATACACAAAAATGTGAAAATTACATGCTGTACAATATTTGGTTTCAAGCAATACTTTTCTGACACCAAAATGAGTATGCTTTAATAAAGCACAATCCATTGTTTTCTGTTCAAGGTAACCTACCAACAAAAACACAACGAACTGAATGGTAAATAAATTAGTGTCATAACTTTGTTATGATTGAGGTACTGCAGAATCTAAATGCTCGTGTTTAATCACAGAACTAGTACGTCACAGGAAAAACCAAAAATGATGCCTTAAAAGCAATGATCGGCATAAAAACTAAATTAGCAAAATTTCGGTAACGTGGTATTAAAGGACCATGTGATAAGAAAGAAATAGATGCATTCAGATAATAAATTCAGATACCTGTCGGCACTAGTTTGGCCAGGAGGGATTAGACCTCCCAGCGTGGTCCCTGACAGGTGATTATCTCATCAAATCAACTCTCAATTAACAAGAAAAAGGGGATCATGGGGACCTACAGGCACTGATTAGGCATTGTTTGCTATATAGAGGGCGCAAGTAGCTACAAGTAGTGCAGTGGGGCTTTAAGGAAAATAATCACAAGCTCTTACCTGTAACCTTTCTGCTCCAAGAACTTGCACACAGCTGGTTTGAGCTTGGCCACGCCCATTTTGCTGTGCTTGCCCCGCCCCGTCACCACCTCCAGGTACCTGTGTTGTCCGGGTGAGGGGTGCATTTGCCTCTCAATCAGGACCTCCTGTAGAGCCTGCAGGGCTTCCTCCACGTGAAGGTTGTGGAGATCAAGCTTGTTCTCACCAGTTACATGTCTCCTGGGCATGATAAAACAGGGGGCTTCACATTATTCAAAATTGTCCGGTTTTCCGTCAACAGCAGAGTTCAAGAAACAAGAAAGTCTTTTAAGGAAAAATTATTTGCACATCCTGTAATGCCTCGTTTTAAGCACATGGTGATGGGCCTACTACGTGGATTACTCCTTATTCAGCCACTATACATTTTCTACCAAAGATGTTCCGCACATGTCATTTATTTGTAATTTTGAACATTCAGTGTAAGTTTTATTGGATTCTATGAAAATTTATTTTATATGTATTACCAGAACTCAAGTTTATCTTAAAAAAACATCTATTTAGGCTCTGCTTTGCTTTGAGAGATCAAGGCCAGTAAAACCAATGCTCACCTTTGAACCAGAATCAATTCAGCTGCTCTCCTATTAGCTTCCTTCAGTCTCATGGAATGTAAACGTCCCTGGAAGAGAGCAACAAATGAAGAAAATGACGCAACAGAACATTTCATGTACCACATGTTTTTGAATACACTACTAAAAATTACAATTTATTTATGTTGTGGGTCCAACCACCTACATGTACAAGTACAGTGACCCCAAGATACTGGTTCACGGAGGGTAGCCAGTTTTTTTTAAACTTGGTGTTACACACACTTAATTAGGTACCACGTTTAAAGGCTTTACTATTTTTTTCCTTCCCTCAACAACTCTTACAATCGCTCTTATGTGAATGAGGGAATAGGCAGAATTCCAAAAAAAACTCTGATAAGCAAAACAAGAAGAGTCTTTTTATGTACTTAAGGAATGTCAGATTAGGCTTTTCACACAAAAAGAGGAGCGACATGGGCCAGTCGTATCCCTTAGAGCCCGTCTGCACTAGTTTGGCCAGGAGGGATTAGACCACCCAGCATGGTCACTGACAGGTGGCTATCTCATCAACTCGGATCTCAATTAACATAAGAAAAGGGGGACCATGGGGGATCAACGGGTACTGCTGAGGCATTGTTGGCTGTATAGAGGGCGCAAGTAGCTATAAGTAGTGCAGTGGGGCTTTAAATCTGCAAGCTTGTGCATCATTGTACCTGATTGGAGTAATGCACAGCGAGTTCTTTCTGTCCAGCGTGATACGCCTTGGCTGCTTTCTTGAAGCATTCGTCTCTCTGCTTGAAGTGCAACGTTGCTTCTGCTCTGTAGTCTTCGTAATCAGGCTGCTCAGTGGACTGGAACTGACCGTCCGTACTGTCCGACTGACCCTTCGCCTGCAAGAGAGTTGAAAGCAACATGAGAGTACAGAGGATGTCTCTATTTGTCAAAAATCATTTAACGAGTTGGAATGGTTATTTGTTCTTCATCCCTCAACATTACAAACTTGTTTAACAAAAAGATTAAATTGTAAACCACAAGTACTACATGATGTTTGTTCTAATCTATTTATCTTGATTCATGTAATGTTACAAATAAAACAAGTCAACGCAAAGCATAGCATCCCCTCGCAGGGTACAAATGGCCTATATACATCAGAACAAGTTACCTCCATTGGACTATACTATTACATTACAAGGCAAGAAAGTTAACCACACGTCTACATATATATTTAGGTGTTTTTGCATATTTAATGAGCTATGACCTTTCACCTTTGACCTACATACTCAGAAATCGAACTTAGGCTGTACATGTATTTTGATACCATGTACCTTCATATTAAATTCCATTAAAATTTGTCAAACATTACTCAAGTTATCGAATGGAAACCAGATTCGCATATTTAATGAGCTATGACCTTTGACCTACATACTCAGAAATTGAACTTAGGCTGTGCTTTGATACCATGTACCTTCATATCAAATTTCATTAAAATTTGTCAAACATTACTCAAGTTATCGATGGAAACCAAATTTGTTACGGACGGACGCACGGATGCACGGAAGGACGGACAGCAGCGTTTCTATATCCCCTCCGACTTTGTCGGCGAGGGGATAATTACCCATACTCGGTACCTTCAAAACACTCAAAACACCCTTTCGCGGCTATTGCCTAGGGCGTGTTAGAATGTTCCGAAGGTACCTTGTGTGGAATTCTTACTAATGCCCTCACAGCTGTGTATAATTTGTATAATAATGACTACATCTCACCTTTCTCCTTGCAGGAGAGCTGTCTCTTCTCTTCTCCATCTCCACCAGTGCTTCTGGGCTGAAGACCTCCTTGACGGGACCGGCGGGCTCTCGGAATACAGCATTCACCTCCCACACGGTAGACTGAAACTCATAGCTATAATAATCCAAACACAACAATGACATGTTTAGCATGATGCAAAATGCACAAATTCTACAAAGCAGCTTAGACATTTTTAGAAATACAAGTATCTTCTATCATTAGCAATCTGACTCTTCCTCCTATGGCAATAGGCCATTTTCATAACATAATTAAATTGAATATATACATCTTTGTGAAGTGCTTTGATAATCCATGATGGAACCTACTTATTGGCTTTGAAGATCTCGTCCAGTGCATTCCTATCTACATCAGGGAAAGCCTCAAACAGCTGATCACGCTTTAGTTTGGTTGCTATGGTATTGGCTCTCACTGGACTAGGACTGCTCCACATCTATCAAATAAAAACAAAAAAATGAAGAAGTCCAAGAAGTCTCAAATTGTAGGCTCAAATCAACTACGCAGCATTACAAGATTTTGATTTTTTTTTTTCCTTCTCCCTCCTCCCTGGGGATTCAATCATGCTTTTTATATCATTTTTCTGAATTGTCATTTAAACTGTTGATATGCTTACACTGCTGTTAAAAATGTTCTTCATACAAAATTTTAAAAAATGTATCAAAATGAAATATAATGTCATCAAATCATCAAATTGCCTTTTCTCTCTCTTTACATAAATTGCAGGCTTCTCATTAATCCACTAATTGAGGTAATAAATGTCTTTTTAGTAAATATATTATACTTTTTCGTTTTGATGATAGTGTGATCAACCATGCAGAAATAAATGAGGGAATACAAACAAATAAAGAGATAAAATGAATAAAGGCAATGTAAGTAAACAAACAGTGCATACATATATGTATTGAAAATTACTTCATTCTTTCAAACAGTCAGAAGTGTTAAGATGTTTAGATAGGAGAATTTCAAAGAAAAGTTGAAGTACTCACCCCTTTCTTTTCCCTTTCTTGCCTCAGCTCCTCCTCAGCCATGATCTGCGCCAGCTCAGGAACTTCCACCCTCTGTACCGGAGGTGGGTACTTCCCTGGCGACCCCGCCCCTCCTACCGCACCCAGCCCTCCAAGATTCCTCAGCCCCCCTCCTACCAGGAGCTGCTCCCCTCTCATCCCTTCCTGCCCCCCGTTGGCCACCTCCGGCTCCTTCTGTCGCCTCTTGTTCCATTTGGGGGATCCCCCCGGTGAGGAGATTCCCTTGGTGGTGGGTTTCTTGTCCCGGTGTGACTTGGCCAGCTTCTTGAGGTTCTCCTCCTGCTGGAGTCTCCTGGCGAGCTCTTCGTCTAGGAGGTGACGGCGGAAAGAAGACATTCTCATAAGCTTATGCATAGTCAGGCAACGCATGGGAAAGGGGCTCTTCAAAGTACAAGTCAAACTCACTGATGAAGTCACTGATTATGAAGTCACTGATTATGAAATCACTTATGAAGTTACTGATCCTGCTCTAATTGGGACGATGTTGATATTCTCAAAAAAGCAAACTTGTGTATCTACTTCAAACAAGAACACAGCTCCACAAAACACAAAGACAGATTTGGGAGTAATCTTCCAAAACTATAGAATAAATCACCATTAAAATTCCAATCTCCAGTTCAAATTACACAATGTGAGCACAATAGTTGCAAATCAAAGTACATGTACTTGTTTGTAAACTGTAATTTACTACAAAGACAGAAGCAAATTGGCAAATAACAAAATTTCGTTTAGTATGTAATGTACACACTCTGGCTCCTATTAAGGACATGAGTCATGGAAACCATGCATAAAACAAACACAACCCTCTATTTAGGTTGAATGAAGGCAAAGCACTTCCTGTTGTCAATCCTGTCAGAGACATGGTTGGCCATTGTTCAAAATAATAGTTCAACCAAACTACATGATTTTCAAAACACTGCCTGGACGAGTGATCATTACAAACTAAATAGCTGACGTCAATTCACTATCCCTACGTAGGCTTTCGCCTATTCACTCTTGGTGACCATACATAAAACTGGGTCACAAAGCCGACATATATTTATTAGAAGTACTATTTTGAGAGACAATATTTCAACTCTGATCCGTTTATAACTTTTGTAAAGAAAAAAAGATCAATGATTAATGATTCATGAACCAATTTTAAACAATAAGAAAGATAGAATAAATATGACAGTAAAAAGTGACTATTCATAGAAAAATTATGAATGGCGCAAGAAAACTACAATTTATAAAAAGGTATTGAAGATGACTTCCCAAATTCCCTTTGTTAATTTTCATTTTCTCTGAAGAAAATGCTTACTCAAATCTCTGTCTGTAAAACATGTAATCAAAACATCTTTTTATACTGTGTAGGTCCTTCTGCATGGAATCAATATTTTCCTTGATCAAAATTCAAGAACTTCAATATTTCACACATTCTTCTCATACAGAAAGGAAGAGTTGGAAAGGTCATTATAAAGTTGCCAATTTAGTAAAAGGATCTTCAAACCTTCTAAATTCTATCAAATCTTTAACATACACACATGCATAGTAATGTGATTATCATTTATATCAATTATATATTCAACATACATATGAATGTTTAGTCTATACATGGACCTACTATGGAGGAGGTTGGTCCATGGTATATAAGCTTATTATCAAGATAATACATGTATATTTTTAGCCACCTTTGTCATTGTAGTTAGTCCAGTCATTTTACTGGCAGAAGTTGAGCAATAGGTAAAAGAATGGTAGACAATATAGCTAACTAATCACATGGTCCGGTCTTGTGACTTATTTGTTACCTTTCATTAGAAATCATAGATAGTACATGTACCGTGAAAACTTGACATAACAAGGTCGGTTTATAACGGTTATAACGAGGATATTGTCACGGGCTCAAATCAATTTACGTGTAATCCATGGAGTCCCACATGTGCATATTTATGTAGGGCCTGATATAACGAGGTATCGGCTATAGTGAGGAAAATAAATTGGTCCTCATGACCTCGTTAATCGTGTATATCAAAATATATTTCCATATGTAACTCTCAGATGTATCTTTTTATACAAACAATGTGGGAGTGCATTCAACATGATTCATTACCACGTCCTTTTTACTATAATTACCTATAATTTTTTTTTCTTCTCTTTGCCTCTTCCATTATGAATCATTTATTTTTTCATTATATTTACATGTTATACATATTTACAAACATATACAAAACACAAACAATATTTATCACAGGTGAACAATGGAATATTTGCTGGAAATGACAACACATCAATTATTTCCTTCACTTCTTTGACATTGAATTGTTTAATTAGTTTTGAATGAGTATGATTTATATCTCACCTCTCTGAAGCATTTCTTCGACCTGTCTCTCCTGGTCCTGAAACCTTTCTGCCAGACCGGTGGACCAGGCCGAATGCAGCTGCTTCGCTACCTGGTAACCTATCTTCACCTTCAGGGCGTCCGCAGACAACATATCTAGAATATAGGAGAAAAAGAACATCCACTTAATAATTATTATCAAACTGATGATGATGATGATGATGTTGATGATTATGAATATGATGATGATGGTGGTGATGTTGATAAATATGAATATGATTGATGATGCAGATGATGATGCCAATGATGATGACGATGATGACGATGATGATGTTGATAATGATGATGATGATGATGATGATGACGATGAAAAAGATATGATGATGATGTAGCTTTGATGATGGTGATGATGAAGAAGATATGATGATGATGATGATGAATACAATGATGATGAATATGAATATGATGATGATGATGACGATAATGATGATGATGATGATGATGATGATGATGATGATGATGATGATGATGAAGAAGATATGATGATGATGATGATGAATACAATGATGATGAATATGAATATGATGATGATGATGACGATAATGATGATGATGACGATAATGATGATGATGATGATGATGATGATGATGTTGATGAAGATAATGTTGATAATGACGATGGTGACACTGAAATGATGATTATGCTGCTACTGCCGTTGATGTTTGATGAGATGATGCTCATCCTCATGATGATGTAGCTTTACTGCTTTATTTCAAACAATCCAATATCACAAAACTTCTCCTTTGGTCAGATCTGATATGCATGTGGCTCACTAAATTTATCTGAATTGATAGTTGGTTCAATTTCAATATGTAGTTATTCATTAACTCAGATTAAGTGAGAAAACTGTCAAAATGCCTTATACAAGGGCATAATTAAAAACTCTGAATCCATAAGCTCTCGAAGGAAGGTATATAGTAAATACATACAGAGGAGAGAAAGATAAAGGAAGAGAGAGACAGAAGAGAGAGAGAGAGAGAGAGAGAGAGAGAGACAAACAGAGAGAGAAAGAGACAGATAGAGAGAGAGACACAGAGAGAGAGAAAAAAAAATATGTAAGGTTTGATCTTGTGGAAGATATTTTATGCCTAGCTCTATTCCAGTGTACAAAACAAAAACAAAAAATTGAATTTTGGAACATAGATTGACAGTTTACTTGTTTATACATTTAGTGGAACCATTATGATGCAGGTACACTGTGTATTTTCCATAGACTCAAACAAGAGCTATTTCATGCATTTTAAATTTTTGTACTCTAACAGCTTATTAGGATAGCAATTGATCCATGATCACAGAATTCCGCACATGCAACACAAGAGGGTGTCCTACTTACCAGGATCAAGATGGAATCCTACTTGGCCAAAGAGCTCCTGTAGCTGGAGAGCGAATGCAGCATCCATCTGAAGCTCCATTCCTCCAAGGTAGTCATAAACTCCTTCACCACTGTCTGTGAACTTGTCCAAAGGATCACCTACTGCAGCCTCCCTATCCGCTCCAGGCTCGATGACATCAAACCCAGATTTCCAGGGTATGTCCGAGTCACTCAGCTCATCCATGGACGGTTCCTCTAAACTTGCCCCAAATCTCACAGAGTTGTCCCCAATGTCACCTTCGGGTCGTTCCATCCCTCGCTGCAGCTTTGGACTAGATTTTCCGCTCTCCTGGTCGTTTGTCTTAGGATCTTGACCATAGGACACACCACCAGCCATTCTTTCATTATCACGTGGATCGCTCATGGTGCTGTTGGGACCAGACAACAAGGTTGACAACAAAGTTCCGGTTTGGCTATCCTCTTTCCCCAATTCTAGAAGGTCTTTCAAGTCTTTGGAGTCGTCTTCGTCCACCCTTTGACTCTCAGGTTCAGGCTGAGGTGTCAATTGATCGCTGCAAAGAGTTGCATGTACCCCTTCTACTTTTGCACCTGATGTTGCAGGAAGATCCGGTTTTGTTTGTGGAGTTACACAATCTTCAGTCTGCAGAGCAGGGTTAATAGTTTCTTCTCTGACTTGCTCTGGTGCTGGTTTATCTAAGGTCACTGGCAGAATTTCTGATGGTTCATGCAATGGAACAAGCGGATTTTCTTTGATCGGGGAATGACCATGTACCACATTATCTCGATTGTGGCAAGCAGCAGCTAACTGTAGCATTTGGCGATCCTCCCTAAATGATTCCAGTGGTGGTAATTCATCATCACTAGTGTCAGCAGTCTTTGGTTTTAATAATTTACTCGCTCCGGAATAAAAATTGTTTGAAAACTCTAAGTCTTCACTGTCAGTGTCCTGTTCCTGTTCCTGTTGCTCACTCTCACCTTCCTGTTTGTGAAATTCACTGTCCTTGCTATTGTGTACATCTGACTTTGCAGTGTCATTCATTTCAACTGTCATTGTTCTTTTGTCAGTGTCATTTGTCTTTGAGTTTGCATCACATGGTCGAGGTTGTGGCCTTTCTGGTGTTTGTTCTGTATGTGTTTTGAGGTCATTGCTGAAGAAGATCTGGTTTGCTTGCTTTAATTCACTGGCAAACCTCTGACTATCACTAGCTAATTGTTTCAAAGCATCATGCCTGGAAGCTGACATATCAGATGGAACAGTATCATTATCCAATCCCTGAGACGTTGGCAGATTGTCAGGAGAGTTAACTCTAAGAGCATCATTCCTGCTCTGCATTTCTTCTTTTCCAGTTTGGTCGTTGGGAAAACTGATTCCATGATCATTTCCAGCTGCAAGTTCTTCGGCTACTACAACCTTGTTTCCAGAAACAAGATTGGCAGATGCTCCATGTGAGGTCTCTGTTGCCTTTGTTGGAACTTCATCTTTTGGTGTGCTCCTGTCCTCAGGAGAACTTGCTGCTCCTAGAGCTAACGAATCAAGTAATAAGTTTGTTGCCATCTCAACATCTCCATTACAAGTCTCTAACAGACTCTGCAAATCTTTGGCAGAAGAGGCCGGAAAGCAACCTTGCATTCTTGATACTTTCTCATCCTCGAGGTTGGTCTCCTCTACGATCTCTTCGGTCATGCAGCTTTTGTGAAGTTTCACTGACAAAGGAATAGGCGAGGATCTATCTTGATCCTCTTCCCCACCCGTCTCATTACCACCACTCTTGTCTGCCCTGCTCAGTAATCGCGCTACTGCAGATCTGCAGACATATCCTGTAGGAAGATCCTCGGGCTCCATGGTTCCACTGATGATTCTCTGGAGGAATGCAAAGTCCTGGCCATTGATTTCAGTACTTTTGTCACATAGATTGACTCTCACAGCTGCTGTTTCTTGTTTGATAATGGGGAATGTTGGCTTTGGAATGCTTCTCGATGGATCATACTTTGCCCAATCTGTGTTTACAGAACCCGGTGGGTCAGGGGATGTTGGCTTTGGCATGCTTCTCGATGGATCATACTTTGACCAATCTGTTTTTACAGAACCTGGTGGGTCAGGAGACATTGGCTTTGGAATGCTTCTCGATGGATCATACTTTGACCAATCTGCGTTTACGGGACCCGGTGGGTCAGGGGATGTTGGTGAGGTAAAGACTGCTGCAAGGCGCCTCGTTGATTGACCTCCGCTCAACCTTCTCGTCGTTCTTCGGAGGGATGGTGTTGAGGCACGGGAAGACTCTCTGGATCGACACTGGGAAGGACTTATAGTTTCTTCCTCATTCTTCAGAGGAGATATTGCTTCATGTTTAGTTTTCAGTGCATACTCAAATCGGTCCTCAATTTCTACAGGAGAAATCAGAGGTGGACCTTCAACAGTGCTACAGTCCCTTTCTTTACCCTGACAGGATGTGTGACCGTGAACCTCTGCCTCTATTCTTCCAACACCCTCTGACTTGGGCTTCTCCCACATGCCTTCAGAATTCTGCACTTCCGTACAGTTTGTCATAAAATGTCCTTTTAGTGGTGGACTCTGCTCTGCATCCATTTTTTTGATGGGATTGTCAGAGGCAGTCTTTCGAACATCACACTGCGGAGAATCTCTTCCAGTCAAGTTGATGTTCCTGCCATAATCGGAATGACTGTGCAGAGATATGTCTTCTTCGCTCCTGGTCGTAACATCAACACTCAGATCAATTTTCCCTGGCATGTCCAAAGACCTATCAATATCCCCTTTCAGATTCTCTGCAAGTAACATCCCGTATGTTTTCTCATCACCGTCCAACGCTGGATCCTCCTGCAGAGACGCGGCACTAGCAGAGGAACTTCCTTTCTGGTCATCACTACTTGAAAGCTGTGTGTTTAGCAATAGACTTTCAGTGTCTGATGCCATTGTCTTGCCAATGGTCACTTCTTGTATAAGATCTTGCCTCGTTGGCATCCCTGACTGAGGCTGAGATGGTCTGCTGCTCACAGGTGATGCTACGTGCTTCTGTCGCTCACCATTCTCCAACGCTTTACCGTTCTGATCTGTCTTGCCCAATGATCTCTTTTTCCCAATACTTGATGTTAGTGTTTGACTCGCCGTTCCAATATGATTTATTAATCTTTTCATTGGATCTTGGGGCAGACTTTCATCACTCTCCAGAAATCTGATTGCTGCATCAGATGGCTTGTTATGTTGACTTTTAGGAGCAGCATGTTTTCCCTGGTTCTGCTGCCCTCTTTGAGGAGACTTTGGATTTCTCTTGTTCTGATAGGCACGATTCGGTGAAGGGGAAGGGGATCCTCCAGATCTCTTTCCTCTCTTCGGTGATGAGATCCAGCCCTCATCATCATGTTGGGGTCCGTCTCTTCTCATTCCTCCTCTATCTCTAGGTGGTGTTCTTACTGAACGAGAAGGGGACTGTGCCTTAGATGGACCATTGTAAGGACCATTCTTTGTTTTTCCTGAAGCCCTTGCGTCTTCTCCCCCATCTTGGTATCTGTTTGCAGGATGTTCATTGTTGTATCTCCTGGGGGAGCCACTTTTAAGATTGTTCCTCTGGTTCAGATCCTTCCTACCGTCTCTTCCTCCTCTCTGGTGATTCCACTGGTCCCCCTTGCTATGTCTACCCACCCTCTCCCATCCTTCATCATCAATGACCTTCTCATCTCCTGGGGCGTTGTCTTGGTGATGACTCCTTCCTCCATCTCCTCTTCTTGTTTGGCCACCCTGGTGTCCACCCTGTTGTCCACCCTGGTGTCCAGACACCCTGGACACCCTGGGAGGCTTTCCATCCTCTCCCGGAAGATCAGGATCCTCTTGGTTAAGTTTAGCAACGTATTCCGGTGTCTTCTTCTTGTCAGGGCCACTCATGATACTTTCAACAGTCACCTTTGGATCATAGTTCTGAAGCATCCTCTCAATCGCTGTTTTGGGGACACCATGAGAGTTCCGCCTTTTAAAATAAAGAAAAGTAAATATTAGAAAAACCCAGTGCTGTGCAATGTATTTTTTACAATTCGTTCACTGTATTTATTTTAATCTCAAATGGTTTTAAGGGTACTGGTTTAAAATTTCATAAAAGATTTTAAAAAACTAACCAGTAAAAGAGGTCAGACTACCATATCAAATCTGTCTTTAAATTTTGGGAAAATTATGTTAGTTCCCCCCCCCCCAACCCCCCCCCCCCCAAAAAAAAAAAAAAAAAAATCAAACTTGACTTTAAAAGCTGTCTAGTGTCTTCATTCAAAGCATGTTTATCTTTATGAAAAAATTGTGCAAGTTTTTCAACAAGTTATGCTGCGCCTGAATATAGGCATGCTAAATTTTTAAAAAATCTTGTTCTTCAGATTTTTAGATTCTCCCGGCATCATCCAGACTGGATGCAATTCTTCTACTTTTAAACTTTTTGCCAATCCTCCACATATCCCTGCTACGAATAAGTAAATGATTTGCAATAAAATTTGCCAGCATATTAAAACAAGCCCTTTCCTAAGGACAAAATGCAACCACACCCTTTTTGCCTAAATGACTTACTTGGCCAATTCTCCAGCTTTGTTCTTCCAAGGGGTATCTGGTTCTCTGATGACTACTTGGTATTTGTGTTTCAGTGCCTACATAGAAAAATAATAAATACATGTAAGTGACTCGTATAGGTATTACTACACCAGGGGGATGTTTCACAAAGACTTTAAGTTGGACTTAACTATGGCAGGCCGTTCATAACACTGTTTGCTGTGAACATTTACTGGCATTGGTCTCTCAAGGGACACACAAATCATGGTCACAAATGCACAGAATTTACCTTTTTGATAGTTCATTGGATAGTATCTAAAGATCATAATGGTGAGAGCAAACAGTGGCATGAGAGGCCTGCCATAGTTAATCCAACTTAAAGTCAATCTTAGTCTTTGTGAAACACTCCCCGCGGAGTGCCGAGCCTTATTTTTTCTTTTCAGATTCATATCTACATGTACGAAAGGACACATGAATCTTCATTCTGGCAATGATCGGCAAAAACATTCTCACACTAAAAGAAACGTATGTTGCATGTTCACGACTGCAAATGAACTATATCTGTCAAATCAATTCTGTAGGAAATACGTAGGATATTGAGGCAGTGAGGGGGTGTTTCACAAAGATCTTAAGTTGAACTTATCTCTAAGTTGGACTTAAAAACGATGGAAAACCGTTAGCAACCTTGAAAATATTTGTAAAAGTTATTTTAAAAGGCATAAAATGTTGATTCAAATCATTCATATTTTCTATTCATGGGAGATTTTGTGTTCTTGATGTGGAAATAATGAAAAGTCTAAAATAGTTGAATTTTCGCTTTTGAATATATTAAGGCTGTGCACCACAGTGTCATGAGGTACATGAGTACACTCCCAGGCTTACAAGCGAATACTCAAATATTCGGATGCCATGTTTTTATATAATTTTTTTAATTTTTTTTAATTATTTAATTTATTTTTTGGCCACCACCATACCTGGAGCAGTATCCCAGTTCTGTCGCCGAAAATGCATCCATTTTTACTTTAAGTTGCAGTTGAAGGCGCCGATTTAATAATAATAATAATAACAGTAAACAATGCTGTTTTAAAAACCAGAGATGGCAGAATAATCCATTTTCCTCCAAGTCGAAACAGAAATCCAGACATTTGGTCCCAGTTTCTGAGTGGTGAGTTTGACAGTGCTTGAGTTGGGAAACATTTTTACCGACGGAACCATGCCAGCGGCCGCCGCTCACCCAGGCACGGGTAAGCGTGGGCCTGGACAAATTTTTTTTTTTTTTTTTTTTTTTGCGGCCGAATATTCGGGTACGAGAAATCGTACCCGAGTAGTTGTCAACCGTGCGGGTACTCGAGCATTCGACTACACGTCGCAGCCCTAGAATATATTCTATTTTAAGGCTACAAATGGCTCTCCATAATGTTTTTTAGTCTAACTTAAGAGTTAAGTTCGACTTGGGATCTTTGTGAAACACCCCCCGAGGAACTTGAGGTACATGAACTCACCATGGCAACGTATGGTTTCATCTCCCACGTCATGATGTTGGTGTTGTCAACGATGATGGGAGTAGTGCCTTTCGCCAAATATTCTTGAGCTGATTCATCAAATCAAAAATATACAAGTGCAAACATTTCAATGAAAATATACACAGACTGTATCACTCTTTAAACCTTTTGAAACTTTTTATAAGTGTATGATGTAAAGTTAAGCAATGATAATAATAGGCATTTAAAAAGATGAGATTCAGCTTTGAGGAAGGAAGTTAAGATTCTCAAATTCAATGGTAAATTATTCCAAAGAGAAGGTGCAGCAGCTGAAAAGGCCCTTTTACCACAGGCTACTCGCGTCTTAGGAATCCTAAGAAGATGCTAGTGTGATCATCTTAATAGACTACGAGCTGGTGTATAAGGCATAACAAGGTCTTGTAAATAGTTTGGTGCCAATCCATTTACAGCCGTCCATGTAAGGTGGAGGATTCTGAATTCTATGCACTTGTGGATTGGCAACCAGTGCTTTTTGCAGTTTTTTTTTTCACTAGGGAGGGCATTTCTAGATGCATCCCACTTGCTCAAGATTTCAATTTCATTTTCTGATTAACCCTGACCATGACTTAACAAATTTTTGCTTTGTATGGCCAATCTTTATTTGCCTTAGATGTTTTGATACGGCTTTAAAGGTATGGACCAGTTGTGGAATCGATCAGAAAAGGTTGATCATCCAGCATATAAGTATTGGTGTGTACTTCAAGGTTCTGGAATCATCAAAATGATAAGAAATTTGGCCGAGTCTTGGTAAAGTTATGAGCACTGTACACAGAAAGATATCTATCCAGGCCGGATCGATATGATAATTTACCAAATATATAAAAATTAGTAGGCGGTTTCCAGGAAAAATTTGTATCCTCACGTATTAGTAAAAACATATTTTTTCACATGATTGATAATAAGAACTTCCATTCTATTTTTTGAGAGGGGGGCGTTTTCAAAACTGGTCTATACCTTTAATTCAAACCGAAGTAAATTCAAATTATTTGAGCTTACCTCTGGCGTGATTCCAGTCGTGTGCCTCTCCGACTAGGTTCCGGTCAAACATATACTTTCCTCTGACAATGAAGAAGTCATCAGTGCTCAGAACTACTCCATTTCCCTTCAAACTCCTGAAAAGCATAACCAACATTTTCTACACTCATAAACTGTATCTCAAATTCATTACAGTTAAAATAATAGTACAGACATAGCATAGCATTTAGACCAGCAATTTACATTCATTGTTTTTATCCTTGGATAGTCACCTTTCCTGTTTGCAGTTTGCTACTAAAATTTCCTGCATGGTAATAGTATATCTATAAAGCGCTTCGAGACATTGTAGATGTATTAAGCGTATTATAAAAGCGGAATATTATTATTATTATTAGTGTACAACAGGCATGTCTCTTGACTTCAAGAAAACATTTTTCAATCTACTTTTCTTTGAGAAAACAATAATTTATTATCTTGAAGAAAAATAATGTATCACTTTGTTAAAAGAAATTTGATTAAAATGTATTTGATTCCAATCTATAAATAACATTAATAATTTGTATGTACATGTACAGTCAAACCTGTCTATAGTGACCGCCCAAGGGAAACACAAAAAGTGGCCTTTGTAGACAGGTTCATTTAGTACATGATTCAATGAGAAACCATTTTCAAGGGAAACAACAAATGTGGCCTTTGTAGACAGGTGGTCACTAAAGCAGGTTTGACTGTAGATGTATTTTCAAAGGAATACAAATAATAAAGCTTACTTTGCAACAGTGCTTTTGCCGCTTCCTGGACATCCCCTCATGAGACAGAGCACCTTGCCTGGTGGCAGTGGTGGGATTTTCCTTGGACTTTGTGCAGGATACTCATGACGTTTCAGGTTGGTCTGTTGGATCACGGGCCATCTTGGTGGACCTAGGTACACTTCCTCCACATTTGTTGAGGTCAAAGGCTCCTCCGGCGAATCTGGGAGTTCGGTTATCGTCACGTTGGAGCGTGGAATGGTAGGTGATCTTAGGCGTGGTCCTTGGAAACTAAAGATGTTATGGGGAGGATATGCACTGTTTTTGGTAGCAGTTCCTGGAGGCATTTGAGCATAGAAAGCTCTGGAGTAGCCCTGATTTGGCCAGGGTTGGGATGATTTTTGGGGAGGTTGACCATCTTTGCGATATGTCCTGGGCAATAAACCTGGCGACATATTCCTCACAAAGAAGTGCGTTGTACCCATACCAAAACCGGGTGCAAAATTTGCATCATACACAAAGGGCTTGTGTGCATGTTTTCCATGTAAGTTTGTTGCAGCAGGAGAAGCATTTAATGGACTGTACTGTGAAGAGAACTGGTTATTCTCTACCTGCACAGGACCTTGTGGTATGTCACTTAATCTTTGCTGGGGTCTGGTCAAGGACATATCCACAGGACCTTGTCCTATTTCATTCCCAAAGAATCTTTCATCTGGCTGCTTTAAAGGTCTTTCCACAGAGAAAGGAGCATTTAAATTTTCTCCCCCTGGTGGGTACACATCATGAGACCTTTCTGTAGAGTTGTTCGGTTTGGCTAGCTGCTGACTCTTTAACAAGTTACTCCTTTCACTACTTGCTATGTCATGACAGCTGTCTCTTTCTGGCCTATCTCCTCTGTAACTTTCTGAATCTTCCTGGAAGCTGATATGCTTATCAATGTCTTTCTCAGAGTCTTCATCAGATGCATCATCTGTTTCGCCTTGCTCAGGGGTCAAATTATTCCAAAAGCTGACCGTTGCCTTGGGTCTAGCACTTGCCACTTCATCATTTCTATTCTCTGTGGCACTTAAAGTTGTGTAGTTTTTGGAAATGTTGCTCAAGTTAGGATTAGTGCTTGGGAGCCGTCTCTCAGGATCACCATTGTTGAGACTTGGGTTTTCTTGTGGCTTCTCACTTGATTCGGTTGGAGCTGTTCGAGGTGTCCCATGTGATAATGCTCTGGCTCCAGCCTCTTTTGATTCTGCTGCTTCATATCCTGCCTCTTTACTCTCTGACTCGTTCTTGGCATCCTCTGCAGGATAGGGTCCATCAGGTTTGTCTCTTTCATCATCAGACTGGCTTGGAGAACTACTCCCAGAGCTTCCACTGCTACTAGACAATCCTCCAACAAGTCGATCATCTGTGGCACTGTATACAGGAAGGCGTGAGTGTAGTGATTTAAATTGAACTTTGGATGATTCCGCCCTCTCTTTTTCCTCTTCCTTGACACCCACCTCCAACACCATCTCTGCAATTGCACGGAGATTTCCAAGCTCCTTCAGTTTGTTCCTGTCCCCAGTGTCTCGGTAGGCCAACAGACCTGCTGTAACCTTCTCAACGGACTCTTCCGAGAATGTATTCCGGTCTAGATCCTTGGCCATGGATATGGCAAAGTCCAGACCGTTGATTCTATGTGGCAAGCTTATGTCATCAAGACCGACACCATTTGCGGAGGACAAGGGACGTTTCGCATCAGTGCCAGACCCTGCAACAGTTTCACCTGGAGTGACATGGTGTGGCAGGTACAAGCCATTCGGAAAGCCATCCACGTCCTCAGACTCGTCACTATCTTCGCTTCTACTGTAGCTGACAAGGTCTCTAGGTTTCTCTGGCAAATGGCTCATATCAGATGCAGCAGGATTGGATGCATCACCAGCCAGCTTGAAAAGAGTCTCTAAAGCATTGTCAACTGAAAAGATAAATGAAAAACAATTCTTTTGCTGATTACAAATCCTCAATTCACTATATTGATAGGAGATTGAATGAAATCTCAATTGAAGAATAGTTGAATACATACAATAAATATAATAAATATAAGGAAAAAAAAATTAAATTAATTAATAAAAAGCCCATAGCAGCTCTGGTGAAGTGTTAAAAAACAATCTTAAGAAATATCTGTTTAATTTAGCTTATAATTGATTACCATTACCTTTCATGTCTGTACCTTTCCTATTGCACCTTTGTATATATTTATCATGTATTTCATCTTTTGCACAAGCTGCGCCTTGAGCATTTGATTGTCAAGTAGATTTGTTACCTTACACATCTTGTGTATCATTATTATTATTAAAGAATAATTGAATACTGAATGAATAAATTAATAGGTAAAACAAATAAATAAATAAATAAATAAATAAATAAATAAATAAATAACAAAAGTCACATGAACAAAAACAACCAAATGTACCATTTTCACTGTACATGTACATGTATGTAAGCTTTGTGCCTACATTGTAAGTGATCTACACGAATAGTACTTTTAAAGCTTGCCTTTATTACATGTACTCCACTGAAAACCAAATCTTTGTACTCTCCCTAGAGATGACAAATGATTTATAGACATGTATGCTATTATATTGTTGTAAACAAATGGGTCTTGGTTATCTAATTCCTCTTTTTTTGTGACAACACTTCATGCACAGATTGCTCAAGGTTTTTTATATGTTTAATTGTTAATGATTCGCCGCAAATTAGTTTTTCATCTTTTATCAATGTGAAATTGTGAATAGGAAGATATTTTGATGTACATTTTGATTCTTTGAAAATAAACGAAAGAAAAGTTGTAGCTGTTGGGCTACATGTACATACATGTACCATGTACATGTACAGCATTTGTATATCAATACATGAACAAAGACAACCTAGTAATTACATTTATAAATGTACTAAGTACATGTAAACCACAAATTTGGGGAATCATACTGTTTAAAAGTACCACTATATACACATTATGCAAAAATGTGGATAAATGCTGAATAACATAGACTAATGAATTTTTCATGAAAACCTATTATCATGGGGATTTCAGACAAAAACACCCACACTTTGTTATACACAAAAACCTATTGTCACAGGGATTTCCAACAAAAACACCCACATTTGACAAATTCACATTTTCTCACTGGCCACCCCCAAACTACATCCTGCACATGGATATCAAAGCATGGTTTAATAATTAATACATACAAAATTTGCCTAGATATTTAAATCTAGTCTTTTGAATTCACATTTTACATGTATGTACTAGTAAGTACTGGGGAATCCCGATCTTCTGCACGACAAACAACATTGTACCGGAGGTTACTCATCGACCTCTGCTCTTACACATTTGCCTTTACAATGTGTACATGTACATGTATGGCATGGGGAATCCCCCAGATGTCTCCTGATCATACACAAGGGTGTTAACATTAACATGGCGAATATGGTGTGACAACATTGATACACTACAGTATTGTGTGTGTGTTTGTGTATGTACAGATAATGATAGGCAATTATGTACACTGTACATACACAACGTAATATTTGGTTCTTGTATACAGTACAGGGAATAATTTTCCTCAAATTTTTTGATTAGCAATTTCAGCCGATGGATAAATATTTCAAATGCAATTCTGTACATTTCTATGGAAGAAAACTGCTACACAAAAGATATTTTGTATAGCAGTCATGCAAAAATGCATAGCAAATTGCGATGCGATACCAGGAAAATTATTCCCTGCAGTAGCACTCATGTCTGTTTTACATGACGCTCCTGGTGCTCCACAATTGTTGCCTCAGCATCAGTATGGCTACCATTATGGCACCCTAGAATTGCACTTCCGGTAATTGGACTACAAATACTTCCAAATCATGACTCAGCTTGCTTCATCATGCTTCATGATGCAATATTTTTATTGAAAGTTTGAAACATATGGTACTAAAAACAGATGGGCATTGTGAAATATTTGATAATTCTCCATTCTTCACCATCAAGTGTATAGTCCTACATGCCTATTCCACATATTTGTTTAATCATATTGTATTTCACCAGGGAAAATAATATTTAACAAATTTCTGGGGTTTTAGGAGTTTAATTACGGTCAGATGAGCCTATTTTTGTACCTTATTTGGGACACGGGCAGGACACTAATTGGCGTGGGGTCTGTCCGGGGGGAGACCCCAGTACCTCAGGGGTATTAGGCATTAAATTATCGTCAGTTGAACATATTGTCAGCCTTATGCCAAAAGGGCCTTAACCCGATTTTGGGGGTTATTGAGTTATTAAAGGTAATACAAAGTTTTGGTATGGGGTCATGAATTTGGTTCAAATGAACATATTAGAAGCATATGCGATCCTACAATATTCAGTGATCGTTGTCGCGGTTAAAATCGAGTCTAAAGTTAGGAAATTGGAAATAATGTACTCTCTATGTGTATAGCTCCCTCTCAAGGCCAAGATATTAATTAAGCTAGAAAACAATGTTTCTTGACTAAAATCGACCGATTGGCTATTCCCGATTGGAAATCATATATCACAACTACATTTTCTGAGATTTTCATGGTCGCAGCTACTATTGTACGGCCGTAGGCGCTATTTGTAATTTATCCAAATTTACCGGGAGCACCGGTAAATTGTTATATTCACTTTTTCTCGAAAGCAGAAGTGTTTTAGGGACTAAATTTTCTAGGGCTTCTAATGCATCCACAGGGGCATCCAAATATATCAAAATTGTAAAGAATCACTATCCACCCAATTTTCAAAATTTCCCAAAACTTTGTATTACCTTTAACATCACCTTGTAGATTTCAACATTCTCTTTAAAATGATGTGCTTCACTTGTTGAAATTCGATTTATTTATGAAGATAATTATGAATTTCAAAAGGGCCTTAACGCGTATCTCATCTTTTTCCTTACGCCAAAAGGGCCTTCACCTACACGGCAAATCTGTTATCAATGACAGATTATTTAGTAATTTCCATTTAATTCAATAATATCAGTAGAAACACCATTAAAAACATGATTAGTCTACAATAGACACAATGTACTTAAAATAATCACTGAAAGTATATGTCATGAATTTAGATCATGAAATCTGAGTGAGATTTAAATTAGGTGTAGATGCACGAAATGCGACCGACTCGTTAAAATACGCAGATGTCAACATATGGGACAGTGATGAAAATAAACAACGAAAAAGGTGTCCTAAATGTACGATCTCTAACAAATAACTTTACCAAACGCTGCTTATATTAATAAAAATATTCAGATATATCAAAAATACTTTTTCTTACATTTTAATCAATCAATTTTATCAGTTTTCGTGATCCAGTAGCCGTACATGTGGGAGGGGCTTTCTGGCAAACCAAAGGTGTTGCGAAACAAGAAAATTTCTTAATGCCAGAAGGGTGCTAACTATGCGTGCATACTTTTGGCATAACGCCGCGTAGGTGACGCTCCTTTTGGCACAATGCCGAGTAGGTTACGGCCCTTCTGGCATAAATACGCTACATTCAAGCCTTATGCCAAAAAGGCCCTAACATGTTTTTTGCACATATGTAAAACATAAAACTTAACACATTTATTGAAATTGGCTTCAAACACAAAAAAACGACCACAAACTTTTGATTATTAGAGAGGCCAAAACTTTAAACGTGATTATCTCGGAATGGCCAAAAGCAGTTAAGGCCCTTTTGGCATAAGGCCGACGATATTTTGATACATATTTTGTGGCACTGGCAGGTCACTATTCTTTCTATCCTTCTATTCTCCTAAATATACTTTTTCAAAAAAAGTGTGGGGGGGGGGGGGGCAAATGGGACATAGTCCCTTTAAGGCTCAGATGGCTCTCCATAATATTTAAAGGTAAAGACCAGTATTGGGAACGCGCCAATTTAAAAAAATGAAATGGAAGCTCTCATTACCAATCATGTGAAAGAATATGTTTTGACTAATACATGATGATAAAAAATTTGCCGGGAAACCGCCTACTAATTTATATATTTGGTAAATTTGTTTCTCTCATGGACTGTGAGAGATATAGGGTAGTCCCATATACATCTTTCTGTGTATAGTGCTTGTAACTACGAAGAATGGGCCAAATTTCTTATCATTTTGATTATTCCAGAACCTTGCAGATGCTAGATGCTAGATGATCAACCTTTTCTGATCGATTCCACAACGTTTCTTTCACAATGCAATCGCATTACCATAACTGGTCTTTACCTTTAAGTCCAACGAAGAGTAAAGTTTGACTTAGAATCTTTGTGAAACACCCCCCTGCATCTTTAACAATAACATCCGTCCAGGTTACTGAACAGATGTAATCAGTGATCAATGAAGATCATTTGTGATTTGCCATGTTTGATTGAACTAGAATCTATAATACTACCATAGATCTACTAGAAGTAGAAGAGAGATTAGGCCTAGATTCTCTAGGGTCTACATAATCATGATAATCAGGATAATCAAATCAAAACTAAAGATCTGGGGCCGTATTTTTAACCCTGTGTTATCTCTAATATTGTTGTATCTTTGGAGATAAGACAAAGTTGGTATTCTGAACATTGTTGTAACTTTTGTGTTATCTTTTGTTGTATCTTTTCTCTCATCTTATTGGCCGCGCCTGCGCTCATACATTGTACTTTGGCGCGCTTGAAATTGTGCGTATTATTAATAAAGTGGCGTTTAATCCTCATTTGCATATGCGCACGAGAGATAATATGTCGAGATAATTGGCATTCTGAAGGTTGTTGTATCTTTTATCTCATCTTATCTTGCATGGTATTTACAACAATATTTACAACAGGTAGGGGGTTGTTGTATCTTTCGTGGTGATATAATGGCGGCAATATTTCTTGCCCAGAACCAACTTCGTGCCAATAGAAGAGTTAGAAGAAGATTATGTGGTGATGAGAACTTTCTAATAAATTACATGCTAGGATATGACGATTTTAGTGCTCTCATCTCAACCAATATAGTGAAAGCGTGATTTGTCTTCATGATCCACATGCCACAGCGCATATGATGACGCGCGTATTAAGTGCTCAAATAACTAATTACGCCAAGATTAGTATGCGCTAGGCGCATCTTCAGATATGGCATAAAGTATTCCTATTGGTTGACCTACTTATCTTCCTCTTCTTCTTCTTCCAGTAAAGTACAGACCGCCGTTGGCGTATTATCGTACTTGTGCTTGTCGAGTGCCCAGATGAATAGTGCAAGTGAAAAAATCTCACTACAAGTTGTTACTATGTGCGGCTAAAAAACAGGAGAGGCTTAACGAAGCCTAATTTGCTGCACCCCCTGCTTGAAGATCACTAAGGAGGTGCTGTTGACTATAGTCGGGAGAGGGAGTTCCATAGTCTGATCGCATCAGGAAAGAATGTCTTTTGATACGTTTGGGTTCTGGCGAAGGGGACTTGAAACTTGTCTGGATTATCATCCTTATAATTATATAAAACAGATTTTGATTGGTAGGGTCCATACAAATGGGCGTGTCAAGAGTGGTCAAAGATAAGAAGATAGAGGCGGTCCTTCAAGAGATAACACAGGGATAAAATGATGTTCAGAATACCAACTTACAACAATATTAGTGCTGAGTTATCTCTGGAAGATACAACAAAAGATAACACAAAAATACCACCCCTGATAATCAGTGATAATTAAATATGAAGTAGATCTAGGCCTAGTCCCTGACTGAGAACAAGATACCCCATACACAGATATAGTTACCATTATAGTTGCAGTCCTCCATAATCATGTGAACCAAGACAGCATCTAGTTTGCCTTCAAACATATCTTGCAACTGCTGAAGACTCTGTGCGCGGGTTTCCTCCTTGTCGACCTTTTTTCTGCCTTTCCCTCCTGCGGGCCCAGCCCCAGCGTTCTTCGCATGCTTCGCATGCTTGCTGGAGGCCTCACTACCACCGCCTTGTTTCCCGGGTTTCTTCTTTCGTGGCATGTTATTGTTCCTCAGAGTGCCTATCAATTTAAGTTCCAGACATCAATGCCGTATCATGTTTTCTAACAGACAGCCATTACAGTTAGGTCTACGTGATATATAACGGGGTCTTATCTCATGATCTGCTCATATTATGATGGTTCTAATTCCGGAGCGCGAGCCGTATGTATGTCTTGCGTAATTCGTGTTCAATGTTTTTAGTTGAATAGCCCCATCTCTTGACCAGCAAAAACATCGCGTTTGATTTCAGATTGATTGGTCTAGTTTTAGTTTTAAAGATATATTTTTTTATATTGTACAAATATTTTGGACTTAACATAAATTGCAAAAATAAAAAGGAAACAAAGACAAAAGTACATTTTCATAAACTGTTTAGAAAAACATTTTCATATATTATAATCAAGAATATTGAAAACTTGAGAGATTATTTTGGCAAATCATTCGATAAACATCATCCAGGGGCCCGATTCTCGAAACCATACTATACGGCTAACTTCTTGACTAAATCAGCGTTAGTAAGCTACTTAAACAGGGAGTTATCGTTTTTTCATTATTTGAAAATGCCAAAAATGTCGTGTTTATACTTGGCTTCTGGTTCTGGTTCTGGTGGGCTACTGCATAAACTCCTCAGCTGGGATGTAATATGCATGCGCAGTCCACTGAGCATAGTATCCAATACTTAATTTCTGAAGTGGGCTCTAGCAATTATTTCGCCCATGTTGAGCTTTTGTAAGGTATTTTTAAAGGCTCCAAGGGTGGGGGTATTTCTAGCATGGGTCGGGAGAAAGTTCCATTCGGGGAATATCCTGGGATATAGAGAGTGTTTATAACAGTCCTTTACAGCGGATAACTTCTTGAATGATACTAGACCGTATTTTTGTAGATACCCCTACTCTGTGATATGATATCATTTTATATCTACATGTATGTTCAACAAATGACCTATATCATATGCCCATGATTATTGCTACCGCAGATTGTAATGCGGCTTCACATACATCTAATAAATACAACAAGTTGTTCATATTTGAGTTCTACAAAATCCAGCCTCAAGAAGACTCTTATTATAAATCATAATTAGTGTCCAACACTTTACATGGTGGCAGCGGTGCCAGGACTTTGCTAGACCATTTTGAGTGCAGGTGGAGCCCGGATTTGGATTTTATGGACAATTTAAGCACCGTTTACCGGCCAGGCCTAGGTTGGGATTTCGTTTACGCGCATCGACCCCCTGTGCTAATTTGGCTCGTGTGTATATGCGGTATGGAACTGACTAGCACGTACGAAAAATTACGCGCGCTAACCGCGGAGGAATTTTGAACGGAACAGTGTGAGTCGATTGTTTACATTGTGAATGACGGAAACTTCGCGATTTGAGCAAGTTAGTTTTCCTCTACAACGATTTTGGACTGATATTCCGCTGAGATGAATTTTGAACTGAGAAAGGTGAAGCTCTGTACAGGTCAGCGATATATTTGAGGGACGTTTGAGTACTGCAGAAAACGACACTGATTATTTGGTGAGTCGCAAATATGAGATTTTAAACCCCATACGAACTGAGACCGAGTGAGCCTATCGTCCGATAGCACAGCACTGATCGAGAAGTGATTATTTGCCCTACATTCAGGACCAGCTTGATGCGGAGGCAGAACCAGAGCCTAGAGGCTCGCCAGGAGCAGAGCCTAGAGGCTCGTCAGGAGCAGAGCCTAGAGGCTCGACCGGGACCGGGAACAGTACAGTACAGCTAGGGCGCTATACTCCCAGCCCTGCATTTTGGTTTGGAACTGAGCCACACGGACTCGGAGCTCATCGGGAGGATCGACGACGTCGCTGGAGCTGGACACCTCGATCGACACCTAGTCTCCCAGGACCAAAATCCAATTGAAACCAGTTGAAATCTCCAACTGGTTTCAATTGGTTTCAACTGGTTTCAATTGGTTTCAATTGGTTTCAATTGGAATAGAAAATTTCCAGTTGAAACCAATTGCCGAACTGGAAAATATTGTTATGGGTACTCATTTCCAGTTCAAACCAATAAGAAGTGCAACTGGAACCAGTAAGGTAATTTTTCCAGTTACTCAATTGGTTCCAGTTAGAAGTCATTTCCAGTTACCCAACTGGTTCCAGTTAGAAGTTCAACTGGAAACATTAAGATGATTTTCCTGTTACTCAATTGGTTCCAGTTAGAATTCATTTCCAGTGGCCAACTGGTTCCAGTTAGCATTCATTTCCAGTTAGAAGTCATTTCCAGTTACCCAACTGGTTCCAGTTAGAAGTCATTTCCAGTTACCCAACTGGTTCCAGTTAGCATTCATTTCCAGTTAGAAGTCATTTCCAGTTACCCAATTGGTTCCAGTTAGAATTCATTTCCAGTTACCCAACTGATTCCATTTAGAATTCATTTCCAGTTACCCAACTGGTTCCAGTTAGCATTCATTTCCAGTTAGAAGTCATTTCCAGTTACCCAACTGGTTCCAGTTAGAAGTCATTTCCAGTTACCCAACTGGTTCCAGTTAGCATTCATTTCCAGTTAGAAGCCATTTCCAGTTACCCAACTGGTTCCAGTTAGAATTCATTTCAGTTACCCAACTGGTTCCAGTTAGAAGTCATTTCCAGTTACCCAACTGGTTCCAGTTAGCATTCATTTCCAGTTAGAAGTCATTTCCAGTTACCCAACTGGTTCCAGTTAGAATTCATTTCCAGTTACCCAATTGGTTCCAGTTAGCATTCATTTCCAGTTAGAAGTAATTTCCAGTTACCCAACTGGTTCCAGTTAGAATTCATTTCCAGTTACCCAATTGGTTCCAATTGGAAATATTTCCAGTTACCCAACTGGATCCAATTGAAACCAGTTAATTTGCATATTATATGCTTGTGTGAAGATCAATGTTTTATGTAATTTATTTTGATTTACAATGTACTTATTAATTAGTTTTCATTTGCAAGTAATGCATTTGTTTTAGATAAATATAAAGATTAATTAGCAATGATAAGCATGTTCATTAGTAATATATTTTTGTAATTACACAGATTAAAAGTTGATTAGTAAAACACTAACCATGTACAAAATACATCAAATACAAACATATATAATGGCAATGCCTTCCTTGTTAAGTATATTATATGGTCTGCATATTATAATGCCCTTTACATTGTACTTAATGTAGACACATATAACAATGTTTCTGTGTTGACATGAGCGATAATTAGTGCAAGAGCTAATTAACTCATAACTAATTAAGTTTATGCCATCTGTAAGTTTCAATTGGATCCAATTGAAACCAATTGAAACCAGTTGAAACCAGTTGAAGCCAACTGGTTTCAATAGGGAAATTGGAACAATTGGTTCCAGTTGAAACCAGTTAGGCAACTGGAACCAGTTGGCAATTGGTTTCAACTGGTTTCAATTGGAACCAGTTGGCAATTGGTTTCAACTGGTTTCAATTGGAACCAGTTGGCAACTGGTTTCAATTGGAACCAGTTGTTCCAATTTCCCTATTGAAACCAGTTGGCAACTGGTTTCAATTGGTTTTGCTCCAATTGGTTTCAACTGGATTTTGGTCCTGGGCTACATACTATAAACCTATATGAGAGTGAAACCTGGGAATACAGATCTCCGTGGAATAAGATATGAACTTGAACTGAGAGACACTAGATTTTAATCAAGATTCAACATTTTGAAATAATGGACGCTTTGCTGAATTCATTATTTGCACATGTTTGAATAGAATGGTTGAATCACCAACCTGACCAGGATCATTTAATGTGAGTAAATCCATGGATAGTATTGAAGGACCGGCTTATATTTAATAGAGACATGGAAGAGTTGGACTGGCAAAGGAATAAATTGCTCTGGAATTGTATTATTGATGATGTTTGTTGCGATGCAGTATAACAAATGCCATAGATATTTTGTCTCATTGCAGTATTGATAACACAGGATAGGGTACGTGTAAATTTTAATGTAACCCTACTCCTATTTGTATATTAGGATAAGGCACACTATATGACCTTACTCCTTTATGTATAAGGCTGAATATGACTAGACTCTAGACCCTAGTAGTAGTTGTTTTTTATGTGACTTAGACTTCTAGGCTATATTAGATTTTATTGGCTGTTACAAAGTCACACACACAAACAAACAACATGGGAGAGATGACAGGAATCAACCCTCCCTGCATGGATTGGGCATCCAAAGATTTGCCGACTGAATTTAGAAATTTTCAATACTATTGTGAGTTGATATTTTCAGGGCCGCTTAACAAGAAGTCTGACCAAGAGAAATGTACATACATCCTGTTGTGGCTGGGTCAAGAGGGTATCAGGATTCACAAATCCTGGGGAAAGGACTTCAAGACCCCAGCTGAGGTCTTCGAAGCTTTCATAAAACATTTCGAACCAAAGACCAATTTCCGTCTGGCAAGATTTCAGCTGCAGAAATTGGCACAGGAACCAGCCGAAGCCATAGACGACTTCATGGCCAGATGCAAAATACAAGCACAAAAATGCAAGTTTGCGGACATTGAACTTGAAGGTCGCCTCATAGAACAGATCGTCATTGGCACCTCAAGCAAGAAGGTACAGCAAACATTGTTGGCCAAGGATGAGAAACTGACGTTAAATACAGCTTTGGACATCGCCAGAACCCAGGAGGCAACTGAGGCGGATATGAAACTCCTTCATGGTCAAGCCGTCAACGTTGATATGACGAAGCAACATATCCAAAGGAAGAAACAGTGCTCATTCTGTGGACTGAACCATCCACCGAGGAAGTGCCCTGCTTATGGCACCAAATGCAGAAACTGTGATAAAATGCATCACTGGGAGAAATGCTGCCGACTGAAGAAACAGGAACAAGAATCTAAACAGCAGTGGCAAAGGAAACAAGAAGCTACAAAGACATATCCGAAAAGGTCGCAAGCACAGAGATCAAAGAGACTCCATGAGATGAAAGAAGAGGAAGAAACAGAAGAAACTGACGACATGCGGTTTGAGACCATCTGTGTAGACCAGATCAGAAAGAACGAAGCCTTCGCTGTGATCGGAGTTGAGATCGGAAGAGGACCAGCGACTCTAAAAGCCAAAGTTGACACAGGATCTGAAGGGAACATTCTTCCATTACGCATTTATCAGAAGATGTACCCTGATCGCGTGGACTCTAATGGGGAACCTATCACAGGA